AGCCTTGTTAGAGACAGGTTAAGACATGGATAAAGAACCTCCAGACCATAAAATATTCAAATACAAATGGAATAGCTCCTCCCATTTGCATTCACAGGTCAAAACGATTGAGCAACACAAGGCAAAATGAAAGGGAATGGAAAAAGATGTTATATTTAGGAGAAAATTAAGGTTAATTGATTTAACATGTAATGAAGTGATGGTAAACTTTCTGTGTTCTGGAAACTCCAGGTAAGTAACCAAAGACAAGGGCTACTTAGGGACTGGAGACCCAGACATGTTATCAATTTATTAAATCCACTCAGAATATCTTTTCTGTCACTTTTTTACTTCAGGTACTTAAAAGGTAATTGTGTCTTGAAAGATTCAGAAACGATTGTATGTTTTAGATTAGGCTAATATTACAAATAAAATAATCTTGCCTTGAAATAGTGCACAGTAGTGCATGAAAAAGTTTCATGAGAATTTTCTTGAAACAAGTCATTCTTTGGATTATCTTCAATAAATACTGAGGAGTTCAATTTAAAAGTCTGTGATCTGAGTACACCCTTGATGAAAATGAGTTGGCTTCAAAGGAATGTCCCTCTTGTCCCACCACAAGAGGGACATTGAGGTGCTGGAGCAGGTCCAGAGAAGGGCAACGAAGCTGGTGAGGGGTCTGGAGCACAAGTCTTACGAGGAGAGGCTGAGGGAACTGGGGTTGTTCAGTCTGGGGAAGAGGAGACTGAGGGGCGACCTTATCGCTCTGTACAAGTACCTGAAAGGAGGCTGTAGAGAGACGGGGGTCGGTCTCTTCTCCCAAGTTACAGATGATAGGACAAGGGGCAATGGCTTCAAATTATGCCAGGGGAAATTCAGGTTAGATATTAGGAAACATTTCTTTACTGAAAGGGTTGTCAGGCATTGGAATGGGCTGCCCAGGGACGTGGTGGAGTCACCATCCCTGGAGGTATTTAAGAAACGTGTAGACATGGTTCTTCAGGGCATGCTCTAGTGCCCAAGATTATTGGTTTGTCGTGGGCTGCTGAGTGGGTGGGTGATGGATTTTTGGTTTGGTTGTTGTTGTGTGTTTAGGTGGTGTGGTGGGTTTTTTTTTGGGTTTTTTTGGGTTTTTTTGGTTTTTTTTGGTTTTTTTTTTTGTGGTTGGACTCGATGATCTCTGAGGTCCCTTCCAACCACCACAATTCTGTGATTCTGTGAATTACAGCAGGGAACAATCTGTTCCAGAATGCGTTTTTACCTTAACTGTGTCATAGGGTGACGTAGCACCATGACTGCAGAGGACAGCCACTGCACGCAGAATAGGAATGAAACTGCTTATTAAACAGAAGTTAACTCCATGGGGGAACAATTGTCAAGGATGCAGGTATGTCAGTAATCAGTAGTCCCATCACATAACTTGGAAATCACACAGGCTGACACTTAGCAAAGACCCAAAATTATCATTCAAGAAAAAGGTACATTTAGAAAGGTTGTTCTAAAAAACTACATGTGTGTTTGAACAGAATGATGCCATCAGCTTTGTTTATTTTAAAAACCTCATCTGTGACTGAATTTCAAGGTTGCATATAGCAAATTAGTGACATCTCTGTCTATCTTTTATTATGTCCATATTGAGACTAAAGCGAAGCTTAGGTACCAGGCCGTGAGCTATGGAAAAGAAATAGTCTTTGTAGACAAAGATCATGTTATTCAAGAATACTAATTCAGATTTAGCTGGATTCAGTAACCTGAACCAGCAAATTTCAAGTAAAAGAATTCTGAAGGAGAGCTCACACTTTGCCAAAAATGTGATATTGTTAAGACAGGATGTCAGAGTGCTTCTTCAATCTTGATTAAAATGTTTGGGAAAAATTTAACAACAAAATTGGAAAGTATGTTTAACGAACCAGCTGCCTAAAAACCTATGAATTTTTTGTTTGAAACCTGAGGTTCCTTTAAATTGTGTTTCTTTAATTTCATTCTCTGTTGTTCTGTCACCTCCCCCACACCCCTCCCCCACATCAAATCTATTATGTCTGATTTTGCTTAGGAAATTATAAAGAAATATTGAAACAGCAGGACAGTTTGTTGTTATATTTCAATCCTTGTTAAAAAAACATTTCTGGAAATGTCAACGGAGGCCTGATTCCTGTGAGCTATTCAGCTCGTTAAGTTTGAAGGGATATAAGGCCCTTCAGATGTTTCTCTGAATTAAACCTTGAGACCTTTTGAGATTCACTGGTTATTACTTACCCTGGGCTTGGATACAGCAAACTGTTAAGTAAAAAAGCCTCGAATTATGTGGAACTAGGAGGGGGGAAGGAGTGCTCATCAGTCGGAGGTGATGACTCAGGACTGAGATGCCAGGGCAGGCAAAGAGCCTCAGACTTCTGCAAGGTGAGAGACTATCAGAATTTGACCCCACTCTTTGGCTTCTTTCCTCCTTCAGGTGAACTTTTTAAGTATTTAAAGTAGTTATGCTCAGCCCCATCTCTGAGCGAGTTGCTGGGATTTGAGGGGGATGAAGTTGGATTTAAAAAAAGGTCATTTGCATGTAGAAACGTAAGTACCTCCAATGATCTCTTTCACTGACTGATGAAAAAATTGATCTTTCCCTCCCTTTTTGTGCAGAAATTTGAACACCCTCAGGAACTATGAACCTGAATTATTTCAGGCAGGAAATACCAGCCTTCACGCTTTTAAGAGTCTGTTTTACATTGATACTTCTCTTGAAACTGAGGGAAAATACGTACTTCTCTTTATCCATGCAGCATCCTTGGTCTTACTGCCATATCTTACAACCCTGTTTGCTACAGGAGTGCTAGAGCCACTTCACTATGGCTCCCCTTTCCCTTCCCTCTATCCGGCCCTCTTGCCACTGCCAGTGATTGTCACTGCGTGCTCTGCCTGGCACAGTGAGGTGGGTTGCTACTGTCAAGGGGGATGCAATTGAGGAGCTGGTGGTGGCAACCACTGCTTCTGAATCCCGCTGTGCCACTGGCTTTGGGGCAGGGCTGTGATGGCAGCCCCTTTCTCCTGGCTTGGCTTCTCATGCGGTGTCCTCTAGGGAACTGGGGCAGCCAGGAGCATCCTATGGGCTTTAGTCCAGCTCCTGTGTTGCCAGCTGGCCAGCACTGTGCCAGTCTAGCAAGTGATTCAATGCCAACAATAGGGGATTCACTCCCTGGAGCTACAGTTGTAGCATTTTGCAGGAATCAGTTGCATTAAGATGTCAGACTGCAATATTCTACGTGTGAGCTGTATCTTCCTAATGTAATGAATGTTGAGCTGTCATTTTGGATAGCATTGGGGACCATTCTGAATGAGAGAGCTGCTTTATTAAAAAGCTTTTCTTGTCTGATGTACAAAACTCCAGCTATGAGCAAAACTGCCTAGCTCTTTAGTATTCACATGTTGGTGGTAATCAGCATCTTGGGACAGCTTTAAGCAGTAGTCTTCTGATTAGCTAGGTATAAATGCACTTTATCAGATGTATCTATAATAAACTTTCCAAAACATTCATTCGCAGTTGTTAATTATTCATTTCTGAAGCACGTGAATGTATTTCAGGATTGTTTTTTTGTAGTATACCTCTTCACACAGCTAAAATATGATGTTGCATTTCCTTAATTTTTCTTCAATAATTTTTCTGGAGCATCAGTGTTATATATAATTACTAATTAATAAAAAAACCCCACAATTTTTAGACAAAAGAAAAAAGATTAATTGTTCTTAATAGAGAAAGATAAAACTTCTTGTCCTGCGAAGGCAATTTGTGTAATTAATATATGCTCTTCAGAAATTCACTATTTTCAAAAAAGGTTTTCAGGCGTGTGATTTTGACTTTGTTTCTAATAACATCTGTAAACAGTTTGAGTGGGGGTAGTGTTTTCACGCTGAATGATGGGATTTATGCATAGAAACTGAAGAGAAAAAAGACGCACTCAATTATTCATGTCATGCATTAAGTGATACAAAACAAATCTCTCCTTGGCTTTTTCTTCCTTTTAATGTGTAGTTACATTTTCTTTTTTGCTGATGTGTATGCTGGATTGACGGGAAAAGAGGTCTGTTCCAGGGCAAAAAGTAGCAATATAACTTTCACCTTTCTGCTACAGCAGGGAAACAGGAAAATATATTTCCTAGTTTCCTACAATGCACTTGACCCAAATATTTTCAGATAACCTGACAGGAATGGCTATTTTACAAACTAATACTCATATTAGTGGCAGAGGCAGTCTATATTTATTATGTGAGCATTTTTGTCAGGTTCTGACCTTAAAGATAAAATATTTATATGTCCAGTAGTGCTAATAATAAGATAGGGTATTTTGCATTGCCATGAGAAGGACAATAATATTCAGGAAGTGGAACAAAAAGGTCATCTCAAATACATGCTGAAAATAGTTTAAAGCGTTGTTTTGCAGTTCCAGCGTGCATTTAAAATAACCCATTATCAAATTTAAGACATTATATGACTATAGCATTTTTATTATCCTGATTCAGTGCAGCTGTCAATAAACTTTCTACAGAATTTCACTGACTGAAAAATCATGCTTTTAACAGAATGTTGTAATTTAATCTGTCATGAAAAATAAATACATTTTGGTTCTTTCTTACACATTATTTTATTTGAGAATTTTGTGGAAGCTTTAACTCCAATATGTTTTAGCTACTCACTGGGTCAGGATACTGAAATTTCAAGCAAGCTAGCTGGAATTTTCATTTAGATTCTGGTGCTTTTTCCCTCTGGGCCTCTAAGTCTTCAGCTGTCATCCCTAGGTAAAAGGCACATGGTAAAATATCAACAGGATTTCTAACGCACAGGCTTAATATGAAATTTCTTATTTATCTGTCAAAAAGAAAAAAAAAAAAAGACATTGTTTCTGGTATCTTTTTTAGACACAGGCACTTAGAAGTGTAAAAGTTTGCAATCTGATATTAAAACTTTTTTATTTTAAACTCTAAGTTCAAGCATGTGTTTTAAAGGTATGTGCTTTTTTTTTTGCACATTTTAGCCAGGTGTTTGGCCAGAGAGGATCGAAACAGTTGATGCTCCAAAGGACCTGGAAGTTTTGATTCAGAAACTAAGAAGCTGCATTAAAGACAGGTACGATCAGGCTAGTATTCTCTATTTCTTTTATAGCTTTAGCAACGTGGTATTCTGCTACTAGAACATGGATTCTAAAGCAGAACTGGGTTCTTCTTCACCCATAGGAGAGTGTGTGTGAAGCAGATGTGTGCCTCAGTGCAAATGTTCTCCTGAGCATCCTAAAGCTTAGCTCTAGAGATTAAAAATAGTTTCTGCTCTTTCTGTGTGTGAGAGGAACTTGTCCCAGCTGTAGTCCAGGGTTCAGAGGGAGAGCAAAGGGGAAAAAATAGTAACTGTGTATAAAACCAAACATTTTTACTTGGTTAATGATGTTTTGAATGTTTTGGGTTAATATTAATGTAAGAATTATGCATTTCTTGGGGGAGGGATGTGCAAACACATCTTAAGATTTTGTAAAATTTTTAGGAAGATCTTAAAATATATAGGTTTGATAAAATCCTCCTTCATTAAGTTTCTCTTATTTTCTTATAAAGATTTGAGCATCTAGGGCTGATAGGAAAACAGCTAGTGCTAAAACCAATGGCAGATTCACTTTGAAATTGATCCAGTTTTTCTCTCTTGTAATGTTTTGAGAGTTTGGAGGAAGAGCAATGGTGGATACGTGCCTGGAACAATTTTTAGGGGAAATAGCTAAAGATATCTAAAACCAAATTTGCAGTTAATAATGTTTACTTGGAAATGTGTTGGTTTGGGTTTTTTGAAAATGAAATTACTGGCAGTTATACCAACACCCTTGTGGAATAGTTTCTCAGTGGGAAATAATAAAGACAACAAAAAACTCTTGTAAGGAGAGAGACTACAGGACAGATTTCCTCAGTCAGAGATGAAAAATTCTGTTTTTTGGTGTTCCCTCAATTTTTAAGCAGGTAAAAAATTGATAAATATAGCAGAGTTCATGTAAAGGTAGTCCTGATGTCCCTCTTGGAGGTTGTACTTTTGGCTTTGGTTTTAAAGAGTCAGGAAAAAAAATGTGACGGGGCTACAGAAACTCCATTTTCAAGATCAAAATACACCGTCAACTGTCAAACTGAATAGCAAAAGAGAACTGTTTTCTAGATTAGCCTTTTTGCTCTATGCTGGCTAATAATATGCACAGTGTTTTAATGACTAATCTTGAATTCTGAAGGCAGAGAATAGCTGTCTTTTAAAGATCTACTTAAGCAGATATAAAATAAATGCAAGTATAATAAAATGCGTAAGCCAACAATAACTCAGTTGGATTAAATACTGCATGATTATTTTTCAAAGTTGGTCACTATAATTTCTAAGGTGAGAGTGAAAGATGTAAAAAGGTACCTGTTTCCCATATTTTGATATCTTCAGAGTAATATACTGTAAATTGAGGCATGCAGAATAACTCTTTCTATTTAAAAAGGAAGAGGTCTTAAAGGAGGTATTAAAAAGGAAGAGCCTCAGCAAAGCATGGTTATAAACTGCCAGATCTGTGTGCAGTAAAGAAGATATTGTCCAGTTGTTATTTTCCAGACAGTAATAAGCTAGGAATGCAGCAATATTTTATAATTAGACTGTGTTTAAGGACAGTGTATGTGTTGCTAGTCTGAACTAGTGTAAGATGTTGAAATATAAGCCAAAATATTAATCTAAATATGCAATATTTAGTTTATTATTATTAGAGGTTTGGGTTTTTTGTGTTTGGTTGAAGTTTTGGGGTTTTTTGGGGGGATTTTTTTTTTTCACTGTATTTTGAAGGAATATAAAGCTGCTTACTGATTTTTTTTGTGGAGGCTTTACTGTAACTTTACTGGGTATAGGCATGTGGATACCTTTTTTTCTTTTTCTCTTTGACTGGCAACAAGTATGTTATCTGAATGGAATTCATATTAAGTGTCACCTAGGAGATATATAAAAGGAGCTTTCATACACTGACACTGTTTAGATATTTCAGGAGATAAGCAAGCACCTTTTTGAGCTGTCAGCTATTAAAGGGAGTAAAAGCAGCTATTTTCTATTAAAACCACACAGTATTTTAAGCAGTTATAAGGTTTAGGCTTAGCCTTAGGGCAAAACTATGGATATACAAAATCCCATTCTACCCTCCAGTTTATTCATTTACTAAGGCACTAGTTTAGGGTGCACAAACACATATTTGCAAGATTTATTAGCTCACTGTAAGAAATTTGCTACCATAATATCATAAAGGAATTTTTTTACTTTTTTAAAAAAGTCAGTTAATATGCAATGCAAATTCCTCACCTCTCTTTTGAGACCATGTTCAATTTAAGGGTGAGGTTACATTTAAAAACAATTTAATATTACCCTAATTTTACCTCAATACAAATGTATTTGAACAAGAGTTGCATATATATAATGGTTCAATCTGGGAGAAGCACATTTTAGTGACATTATTCAGTGACTTATACTGCACATAATGCAACACAGAACACACTGCAAAATTTTGCATATGCTTGGTATTTTACCAGATACTTCTTATCATTCCACAATTCTCTTGAACATTTTTAGTTCAAATACTGAAAAAAATTTGTAGAATAAGGTAATGATCCCTCTTAGTTATATTGCTTGCATCGTGTACTTCCTTACTACTTTGTCTACATTATAAATTCTAATCTATAATATAAATTACATGTATTACATCATATACTATAACAGTATAACATGAGAAGGCTAGAAATATAATGGTAATACTAACTTAAGTAAAATCATTGTCCTTATAGTCCTCCTTTGTTAGAGATATATGAGTAAGTGCAAAATATGCTTCATATACGCAAATATTCCCATAACTGATATGGTACTCAACTTTTATGTGTCTGTCTATTGTCAGCTGTGAATCTCAAAATTTTCCTTACCTTTATTGCTTAATTTCCTTTTGTGTTTTATGCTGTCTATCTACGATAATATTCATTACATTGTATTGATGGTGCTGGTGAAAATTGATTTTACAATTATGATGCCTGAATGACAGACGTTAAGAGCACAGATTTTGTCAATTAGAATTGCTTGGATTACTGACAAAATACTGCTTTCCACTGATGGATGAAGTGAAAGGCACTGAAATTCCATATCAGTATTTGCAAGAAAGAAGCTTCACTGGTGACATTTAGACCTTTGAAAGTATGTTCATAAAAGAGTGAAATGATTATTCAAGCTGTGAGTGGCAAATAAATGTGGAATGGCAACGATTTCTTGCTGTTAAATATATATCATAGCTGCACTCAGGGACATAATATGCACACAGGGTACATGTACTAAGGCCACAGTGCAGATCTGGGACTGAGAAGTCTGTCTCCTAAACTGGCTGTGGTGGGTTGACCTTGGCTTGTCAGATGCCCACCCAGTCTCTCTCTAACTCCCCCCTCCTCAACACTACAACGGGAGAAAAGAAGATGGAACAACTCGTGGGTTGAGATGAAGGCAGGAAAATCAGTTACCAGTTACTGTCACAGGTAAAACAGGCTCAACTTGGGGATACTTAATTTACTGTCAATTAAAACAGAATTTTACCAAATACAAATTAAACTTCCAGCCCCCTGCCCTTTTTCCCAGGCTCAGCTTCACTCCTTCCTTGCCACTCTCCCTGACTGGTGCAGGGTAACGGCTAATGGGGGTTGTGGTTTGAGCTCTTCTCTGCTGCTTCTCACACTTTTCCCCTGCTTCAGAATGGGGTCCCTCTCCAGAAATACAGTCCTTCACAAATTGCTCCAGTGTGGATCCTTCCCACAGGCTGCAGTCCCTCAGGATAAATCTTTGTGGTCTCCATGGGCTGCAGGGCACCCTCCCTTTGGGCTCCTGGAGCACCTACTCCCCCTCCTTCTTCTCTCATTTTGGTGTCTACAGGGCTGTTTCTTTCACATTTTTACTCACTCCTTTTTCCCATGGTTGCCATGAAGCATTTTGTCCTTTCTTAAATACCCCACCTTGGCTGTGGGGCTGGGCTGTGCCCTGCAGGGGGGGCACCTGGACCTGGTACATTCCACCCTACACCTCTTTGAAACACATATTTATGAATCATCATTAAAATGTAAGCTCATTATGCACTTTTCACAAACTGCTTGCATCAGCAACAAAAATTCCCCACCCCTAAGTAACACCATCACAACACTGACAAATGTGGCCAGTATAGACACACTCCCATCCTACTGGCTCTTGGTGGAGCGGAGCTAGAGGGGTGTCCCTGATGGTGTGTGGGGACTGTTCAGCAATAGCCAAAACACTGGTCTGGGACCAACACTGCTGTAGCCACAAATGCAAAGCCCGGTGGTATACAGGCTGCTGGGAAGAAAGTTAACTCCATCCCAGACAGAGCCAGCACAATATCATTCTTGTATTGCTAGATAAACTTGTGAATTCATGGTGTATTTTGCTTGTTGATCTCTGATTTAAGCTATGACTAAATAAGAAATACAGTTGGAAAAGCTATGAAAAGAATAACAAATGGGGCCATGTAAATGCACTGACAGAAACAGTCATTCTCTCTGTGCTCTTTGATGTACTTTATGAAGCAGATAACTAAGTCAAATTTTATTTTCCCTGTAGTATTCTTGCTGCCTTGTTAGTGTGTTAATGATTTCTTATGTCTGAGCATAATGGCATGCTCTTTGGGAGTTGTGAATTTGAAGAATGGGTAGGCTGTAATATTTTAATAGTTTCATATCAACAAATACCAAACATTTGTCTACCAAGAGCAAAGTGCTGATAGCTATAAATTCGTCTCCAGCTGGTATTCAGAAAGTCTATTTTGCTTCTTAGCCCAAGTGAAAGACACAGTTGATACGAGTGATGTTTAGGTTTTATTCAGCACTGGTATCTTCCTCTTATTTTTCCACTTTGTGATCATATGCCACACAGAATGCAGCAAAGCTCCTGCAGGAAACCCAAGAGGTTTGTGATACTTGACAGAGTATTAGGGGTTGTTTTTGTTGGTAACTGTTTAACATGTATGAAAAATTATTAATATTTTTGAGGTATTCATCAGAAGAATGAAAATATGATAGCTGATCTGTAAAACATTATTTCTAGTACAAACAAACCTGGAATAATATTTTATTTTGAAATGTGTTTAACTAGCTGGGCTTTTTGTTTTCTGCAGCCTTCACCATCCCTTCATTGGTGAACTGCAAACCACATTTGGCCAATTTGGGGTTTTTCCTTCACAATGCAAATTCTGTGAGTTTTGCATTCTCTTGAAGTCTTTGGAATCTCAAGGTTAAAGGGGGTAAGAAGACTGCAGGTGGAATTAGCTACCTGATAGAAGTATTTTTTTTTTAGCCCAAGTATTTAAGAAATCAATGAATTCAGGTAGGTGGCCAAGCAGAAAGGATTGTAATCACAAGTAGGTAAGACAGATCATGCTAAAATTAAAGCTGATAGAAATTAGTAGACATTTCCAATCTTTTTATTACTAGAATTTCACTTGCTTGGTAAGTTACTGTAAGCAGTCATGTAAAATAAGAAATATATCTCTTATTCGAATAAAGAATCAGAAATATTGGTTTTATACAGAAAGATAGTCAGATATGGCTTTTGTATGCTGTAAGAAACCCTTAGAGCTCTAAGGCAATCATTAGTATTTATTGCATAAACAATTTGGCAGAGCTAAGGAACAGTCAAGAGACTTTGTAGCAGCAAAGGTTTCAAAGGATGTGGGTCACCATTAACAGACCTTCATGGAGCTGCTGTGTGGATTTTCTTCCTGAGAACTTTCCACTTCAGAAGCCATGAAACCTTGCACTTGGTGTCCCTTTTATGCATGAATGCTTTAGCTTTCTTCACAGTGACTGGCATTTTTCTATATGATTTAGGAACATGGTAAGTGTTGGCTGGCTCAGGTCTTCTGTCCATTATTATATTGTATTAGTACTTCTATTTGATCCAAGACTCATGTTCCTTATCTAGAATAATAAAAAAATAAATCTTATTTTCTCATCTTACAAATCAGATGAAAAACAAAATGCAAAATCACACATACTGAAACCAGGTATTAGAACAAATATATAAAACTTAATTTCTTTACTACTCATATGTCAATAACTGTGAGAGTGTATTTTCCTTGCAGGGGCTGGAACAGACCATGGGACTGGGATTCAAAGTGTTCTTTTCAAATTTTTATGTTTCATTTTTCATATTAACAGTATTTGTAGTACTTTGTACTGGCTGCATGGAATATTATACTCAGAAATATAAGATCTATAGGAAAAGGATGTTAAGGTATTGAGATTAGGTATAGTTTTCAGTTTGTATCATCAAGGACCATGCAGGACATTGGGTAGTACTCCAAATGATCTCATTTGGGTAGCAGGAGACACGATGTGTTTCTAAGAAATGTAGCAAGAGGAATAAAATGTTCTAGTGCACAGGCTCTAAACTGTCCTCTTACAGAAATCTTTTCCTTTTAGCATTGCACTGAAAAGTCCTTTGTGTACTCATTTCATATACAACAACAGTAGATTGATGTATTAATAGACACAAGGATTTAAGGGATTAAGGGACATGAAAACATTCCTACTAATACTGATATCTGGTGAGATTACTAGGAGGTTGGTACAAGAGTGGTAAGGAGGTTAAGTATGGTGAACCAGAAGTGGAAATATTAATCTTGAGGGAAATTTGAAGCCTCACTGCTACAGGAAATTAATGTCTTGATGATTTCAAATTTAAATACCTTTCTAAGAGTAAAGCCCCCAAACTTTAGGTAAAAACAAACAAAAATTACAATGATGCCATTTATTTAATGGTATAATAGACAATAAAATGCATGCATTTGAAACTTTTGGCTAAAAGTCTTGTCTTTTGATATTATTTCCATTGCCTTGAGAAACTTAAAAATCTTGGTCTAACACTGATGGTAGTTGAAAGCTATGTAAGAGATATGAGAGAGGTCCAGCTTGTTTTAGAATTGCTGAGGTTGTAGAGCTCAAATGAAGACATTTTAAACTCAGCAACTTTTATTTCTCTAGATGAACACAGCTAAGCATTTTTACTTCTGAGGCATTAGCAGCTTGGGCAAAACCTGGCATTTTATATTTTAAATACAGTGACTTGTATTACAAGTCAGTTATAACATGGATCAGTGGTTATTGCAATTGAACTTACACTGATCAGTAAATGTGGTTTGCCTAAACATTATAATTTGGTATCTATCACATTTGTTTCTAACAACCTATAGTAACTAATTATAACAATTCTTTGAAAGAGTAGAACCTCTTGAGATTTTGAATTGCAGGTAGAAACTTTCTCAGCAGCCACCAAAAGCTGTGTAATAATAGCTGAGATGTGATTCTGACAAACAGAAAATAAGAAAAATGCTCAATTTGAAATCTCTTAATGAAAATAAATAGTAGAAAAATATTTGATAGCCTGATCAGTGTTAACATGAAGAGGGATTTCTTTATCAGATCAGATTAAAAATACATAAATGTATGTGACTTGACCAAACTAGGATGATTTAAAATTCCATCTGTGCATATAAATCTGTTGGTTCACCTCTCCCTTGAAACTAAGATTGCCAATTTGGATGTCCATTTTTCCATATGATCTTAAAATTTGGCGTTTCTTGCAGTAATCGTCCCTCTTAGCGCAGGCCTGTCCTTTTTCTTTTGAAACCCTTGGATCTGCTTTTCGTGTCATGGGTTCTCCGTGTGTATGCATTTCATAAGTTCCTCTTTGATTTGTCAAGACATTACCTAATTACATCTCTTCTCTGCTGTCTTGATCTGTGTGGCACACTTTATACAATTTTGCTTAAAGGCCAATAACATCAAAATGTACCAGACCTGTTTTTTTGCAGCAGAACATCATAAGAGGATGATACCTGGGGATACAGCACATTGGTAACTGATCCCCATCAGCACACTGGGTGGTCAGACACACATGATCATATGTACTTGTCAGTTACCTGAGCTTTTCAAGATTTTTGTGGGCAGTGCAGGAGGCAAATCATCAGTCCTTCAGCAAATGAGCCTGTGGGAACACAGATGAAGTAGCCACTTCTGTAAGCAATCCATGGGTTTAACAGGTCCATGTCCTTTAACCATGTTGGAACGAATTCAGAGGAGGACCACGAAAATGACCAGAGCGCTGGAGCACCTCTCCTATGAAGACAGGCTGAGAGAGTTGGGATTGTTCAGTCTGGAGAAGGCTCCAGGGAGACCTTATAACAGCTTTCCAGTACCTGAAGGGGGCCTACAGGAGAGACAGGGAGGGACTCTTTATCGGGGAGTGTAGCAATAGGATGAGGGGTAATGGTTTTAAACTGAATGATGGGAGATTTAGACTACATACTAGAAAGAAATTCTTTACTGTGAGGGTGGTGAGGCACCGGAACAGGTTGCCCAGAGAAGTTGTGGATGCCCCATCCCTGGAAGTGTTCAAGGTCAGGCGGGATGGGGCTTTGAGCAACCTGCTCTAGCGGGAGGTGTCCCTGCCCATGGCAGGGGGGCTGGAACTCAATGATCTTTAAGGTCCCTTCTAACTCTGTTTTATGGTTCTATGATTCACCCCAGTTCTGTTTGCATTACGAACAACTCCCGTACTGGTGACTACTTCTAGCAGTGGGAAGCATGTGTTTCACTTAGAGGCTGTAAAGGCCTCTGCAATTACATCTTTTAGGTACTCTATTCCCTTCTGGGGCGTCCCCTAACCAAGACAAGTCCTTGTCTAATTAAGAGAGGTCCTTTTTACTTCCATGGTAACATGTTCATGGTAACAGCCCAAATTGAAGCCTCTGTTCATGTTCAAGCTGATTCTTTGTTATCACAGTTTTGTTTTGCATTGGAAAAGAACAGGAAAGAAAAAAAAAAAAGATTTAAAATAAATCTCATACGTACCATCATTTTAAAGGAGAATCTGATGACCAGCTGAGGAAAAAGCCAGTCATAGATCTAATTTGGATGAGGCTTACAAATTTTGCTGCATTAGTCCTACGTTTAGTTTAGAAACATTTTCAAGAACAGTTTTAAATGTATTAGTATTGATACTGACAATAGTTTTGCCTTAATAATAAGGGAAGTAATCTGATAATTTTGCATTATGAAGGTAATTAACTTGATTCAAGTGAACTACTTTTCTCTTGACTTCCTCTGCACCCGAAAGAAAACAAATAAGCAATTAAATAAAGTAGAATGGGCTTTCATTCTTCTTGATTCTCTTTCTACCCATTGCTGAACTTGAAAGGTCCTAGTTCTGTGGAAAGCTGCCACAAGAGGAAGAAATTCTCAGATCCAGAATAAATATACATCAAAATGAGGAAAAAAAATGTGACTGTTTACTGACAGTGTTAGCCATCGTTATTTCCCTCAGGAATCTTCTGGAGTTGCAGGAAAAGGAGCAAGACACCGGAGAACTTTGTCATCCTGAGGCTTTTTCTCAGACTTTTCCAGATACTGCTGTTTATTGAATAAAGGTCTAGAGATCAATTTTCAGACAGTGGCAACAACTCAGCAGTGCTGGGGGATTAAGTAGGCTAGTTTAAACAAAGATGGACCCCCTTTATGTCTCATAACTTGGTATCTTCCTTTTCAGGTTGTATACTTGTCCTCTTGCGATGGGAATGGTAGGAGGCAAGAGATCCCTTCCCCTTTCTCTTCATAGCTCTGGAAGATACAAGAGGGGAAAAGATGGTATGTGAAGATACTTATGCTGGCTGCCTGTATCCTTCGTTATGAAGAGCAGAGGGAGAAGTTGTGTTATCCATTAATGGGGAGATACCTTCAGTAGGGTTTTTTATTCACGCAACATTAATGGATACAACAGAATTTTCAGGGGGATCCTTAGGTACCAGTGTTTAGCCAGTTGCCAGGTAGGACTAAGACTCTGGAAACCAAACTCTTATGCTAAACTGATTTTGGCATAGGTTAAACCTGGAGCTTTGGAGAATAAAATGTCTGGATATTCTCAGTAGAAGAAAAGTGTTATCTACTTTGACAAATACCTTGAAGACATGAGAGCAGAATAAGAATAAATGGTAAATTGTCAATTTATAAGTTGATGATAGAGACAGGCTGGAAATCACTTTCATGTCAGTTGATGCTCTGCATCATGTCAGGCTTCCTTCTCTCTTCTACAAGGGTATGGATATTGGACGGGAGTTTACCACTGCCTGTTTGCACCCAGTTGGATGTTACTATCCTGAGTTCAGCTAGTGAGGAGCATCTTATCTGGTCAACTCTATACCACGAGACACATTATTTTAAGACAAGGTACGTAATAATTGCATTTCTGAAACATTTAAATTATGAAAAGTTAATTTCACAAAGGGAAAGCAAGTAATTAATTTGCATATTCTATTTCTTTTATCACTCCAGAATTCATATTAAAGATAATGAAGATAATCAGAATTCTTTAATAAGGGGAAAATGTCTGGATTTACATTGCTATATTTATTCATTAGAATAATTCAATTATAGGGTGTTTCTGGCAAACTGATGGAATGATTAAGAAAGGAGAAGCTTTTTCATTATAATGGTATTTTGATTCTCTTGAATTGTATCAGAAGAGAGGGATATATCTTCCTTTGCTAAATATATTTCTCTATAAATAACTGTAATATAGCCAACAAAGCTCAGTTCTGCAAGTTCTCCTGCACCTCCCATGACTCAAGGGACCTCCTCCTCATGCCAGCTTGCCGCTCCATCTGACCAAAGGGGACAAGACAGAGCCTCTGGACTTATGTTTGCTTAAGCGTTCCCTGATCTGATCCTCTTCCAATACAAAAGTGATTAGGCTTGTGCCAGAAGAAATGAAGGTAACACCTACTATTTGTTAAGTATATATCATCCTTATCCCTTCACTGTCCCTCTGTTGGCAGCCTTTGTACCCAGTCAGGGACACAATGTTGTTATTTACTACCCCTATGTTTGTCTTAGGTACAATGTGTGCATTTATACTTCTTTGCTTGAAGGCATAGATAGTCACCCTTGAAACATGCACTTTTGTAAACATACTAGAGAGATTGGGTAGTCCATGCTGGATATTAAATGTAGGTGTATGCATGTTTTGAAATGAAGTGATACACACAGTTTCACTGGGGTGGGAATCCAAAAACAAAGGGAACCTAATAGCTGTAACAGTATGAAATTATTTTTTTTTCAAGACTTCAACAATGGAAATGCCTGCAGTTAAAAAATAATCTGGGGTTTCTCTGAGAATTTAAATTTTAGGCAATCCACATCTTTAACAGAACGTACAAGCTGCAAGAATCAAAACAACAAAAAATAATTCTGTGAAAGGGAATATAGATATTACCCTAAAACTTGGCTCCAGCAGTTATATAGAAAATCTCTTGCTGATTTAGAAGTTTCTTATCTGAAAAAGAAATGCAGGGAGCACCACAGCAGCAACCAGAGACTTTATCTCTTAAGTTTAGGGATATTTGTTGCAAGGAAAAGTCCTATTGGCAGGAATGACGCAGTGTGGGATCAGTTTAGCATGAAGCAGAACTAAAAGCAGTGAGGCAAGAATTCTAACATATCCCCCTGGATCTTTGAGAAGTCACTCAGGAGAACTAAATGACACTTTCATGGAAATGCTATTATCAACTAAACAATAGCTCTATGTTGACACTGACATTACAAAGCCTGTGTGTTGAAAACACCTGAACCAAAAAATAGCTACTTGTTAATAACTTGTGACTAATCTTTCTAGGTGCTGCTGCTTTTTTCAGTCATTTGCCCCAAAATATGCTGAAAGCATGTTTGAAAAATACTATACAGAGACTTTGAAAATTAACTTGGTTGTAAACACTTTGGTAGACAATAGATAGGCTTTGAAATCTTTAATTTATCTATTTTGTGGGAAAAGGGAAGATGTTTTGACTTAAATCAACTTATTCTTATTTAGCTTTACAAGACAATTAAAATCCCATTGTTTTAAGATGATAGGCAACAAACTACGGGCTTTTACAGTGGAAAATGTATGTTTTGCAATCTGACAGGTGCTGAGAGCTAAAAATATCTGTTAAGAAACTTTGGAAGCTGGGACACCTGGGTACTCTTCCTGCTGCCCTGAACTTGTAGCTCTTACAAAACAGATTAGCTTTCACAGCAAGAGATTGAGTCATTCTCCCTTAGCCAATGGCCAAGACTTGGGTAGTCAAAAGTATAAGCTTTGAATCCTCCATCCCTCAGTCTGAGCAGTAACTAGGATCTTGATCTCCCATAATCTGATGTAGAGCTATAATTTCTGAGCCACTAATTGATACTTTATTTGGCAAAACAATGCTAAAAGGTACATTTTTTTTCTTTCTTTTTTTTCCCTAGCCTGAATCTTCTGATGCATTTGGGTAAAATAATAGACCATTCATTTCAAGTTGGCTATACTTTTGACATATTCACAGTCTTGCTCCATACTATTTTATTTTTAGTGGGGGGGAGGAGGGAGGAGTTTGGGGTCTTTTTTGCCAGCCTCTGGGATCAGTATCTTTCTGTACTAATGCTGAGCAAAAACTGACATACTACTTCTTTTTTAAGGGACTGATGGAGGCCCAAATCTGTGAGTGGTACAGTTAGTGAGTCTTGGGCTGAACAATTTTTATGGTTCCTTACCAAACATCTGTATCTCCTCTGTATCCTTACGTGAGGAAATAGCTATTGACATTATACTACTCCGTTAAGATAAGGAATTAAAGACATTTTGCATAGTTGAATATTAGTGTTTGTCCAATGTCTGATGCAATAAGCCAGTGTAGAAGGTCTATTTAAGGCAAAGTTACTACTCTTTTCACTGGCATGCTTGTGAGTGTCGGGAGGCCTGTATGCTATGAAGAGTTCAGCTTCTGACCATCTAGGTACTCTGCTGCCCAACATGGGATGTATCTAAGTCTCTCTGTCGTTCTTCACAAACAATTTGTGCATCTTCAAAGGTTTAGTTAAATGTTCTGAATGGATGTTTTGGGACTGGTAAAAAAAGAAATAATTACAGCATCTGATTTAGTTGAATGTTCATCTGTTTTAAAAAACCCACATTTGTAAGGAAAATTTTTCTATTTTCCATATTTATAGAAATTAGATGCAGAGCTCCTGTCATAGTGATGAAAATTCAGCTTCAATATTTTTCCTAACTCACCTCTGAAAATGTATCTCTCTGTCTCTCTCTGCTACTGATCCTCCCTCCTCCTCCCATAAATAGATCCAGTTAGAAAAGCTATCACATTGATATAGTATGGACAGACATAGATTTGCAATGACAACAAAAGTGTAAAAGAGATGCCACTATTTTCAACATTCTTAAGAGGGAAAAAACTGAGGATGTTATTTGTAAGACTGAAAATGTAGCTCTCTGACAATAATTGGTATCATTAGGATTCTACAAGAAGATAGGGGGATTATCTGCTACTTTAGTTATTGTAGGTATGCTGCTGAGTACAGCACTGAAAAACAGGAAAAAAGCATTATCATTAGTTCACAGCTCTCAGCAATCACCTGTTATCAGGCTTTTGCTTAATACTCTCCTTATTTATTTGACTGTGTGCTGTGTAAGCAGCAAAAAAATGACTGCAACAGATACTTAAAAGAAAATGCAGGGCTACAATAGAAGTTTAACCTTGCTCTGCCCAGTAATGGAAAATTTTAGTCATGTATACAGAATATCCATGTAATTGGAGAATACAGGATATGGTTTACCAGATTTGACCAAATTTACCTATAGGACATAATAGTATTCTTGCTAGAATTCAGTGCTGGCTTTAGTGCTGTCTACATGGCTGCAGGATAGGATAGTAAGTAGAGGATGGCGTGTGGTGGTTTTGGTTGAAGTAGATATTTGGTGACTACCAGTTTTATTTAACACCTATTTCATGACTTCCTGTGATTTTGGAGGAATGCAAAAAGATGTCTTTTTTCTGGTACAGTAATTTAGTCATTAAAAAGTGATACTGCCTTCAGTAAGCGATTTTATTTTTACAGGTATTATTATTTTATGGGATTTATTTAATGTGTAGAGTTGAATCTTTAGAAATTAAAAAAAAATTAAATGCTTGGTTGAGGAAGGGAGAAGGAATAGCAGAAAGCTCTAAAGATTTTTATCTGGCATTATTTTTGGAATTGACATTCAAATGAGATGTACAGAAAGAGATTTCTGACTCATTAAGTATAAACTGCTGTAGAGATTATGACACTTTTGCAAGCTGAACTGTTTAGTAAAATAGTTATATGTCTTCACTGCAAAAGAATATGTCTCTTTTGAGAGACCAGATGAACATGGTTATCCAAGTATAAAATCCTACTGAAGAAAACATGGGGACATCTTAGTCTAGTTTGTTAAGAGTTGCATACGTCTCCTGCTTATTTTACCTTTACAAGTTGCACTGAAATAAAAATGTTCCCTTGGTCCAATGAATGGGATTAAATAGGATAATTTGTATTCTCCAAATGTAAGTACATATTTTGGAATATGTGTTGGAAATGATGAATTTGAAACACTTCAAAAGTTGGCTGAGTAGTTACGCAGGCATATGATGTTATCTAAATGAAAAAAAAAAACAACCTACCAAACCTTGTGATATTCTTTATGCTAAAAAAATAGGAAAAATTCAGTTGAATTTCAGTTGAATTCTTATGAAAAGCTTGGATTTGTAGCATACACTTTTCATGAGTGTTCATAGGAAGGCTACCTGGGGATGGAAAGTGCACTGAATGAAAAAAATTCATTTTATCATTTACCTATATGGACCAAATTATGGCATAGCTTTCTGTTTTAGAATGGAACAAGAACAGGAAAAGTGCTGAGAGTATGGTATTTTCTGTGTCATTATAGTTTGAATACAAAGGACAACTATTGTCTTGGTAGAGTTCAGAATGGCCTGAGATATAGAAATTAATGCTTTCCTTGATATGGTGTAGTATTGAGATGTTCTTGCTTTAAAATTGTTTCATGTTGCTGTTGCCTTTGACACTCCCTTTTCTGCATTCCCCAACATTTTTTCCCTTGGTTCATCTTTGACTTTATGACCTTAATGGCAAACTCCTTGCTTGCTAATTTGAAATATTATTTTCTGGGAAAAAGGGATTGATTTCTGGAAGAGGGATGATGAGGGAGGAGCAAGGTGGAAATTCAAGGTCTTTATGTTTAAATATTAATATGCTTTTGACTTGTATACACCCATATTTGTTTATTTGTTATTCAGCTCAGTAACTGAATTAACATATCCAATATTTAATCTAAATAAATTAACACAACTT